AAAAGCGAGTGCATTTTGTCATCCACTTTCATCTCAGCAACTAGGAAAGTTGGGAGGCTGAAACTTTGGATATATGTTTCTACCCCGTGTGTCATCCTCCCGTTTTAAGATCTTCCCCCACACGCGCCTAAACCCCGCGCACGAGACCCCCAAAAATATGTTGGCGGGAAACGATTTCGCGAACCAGGCAACATAGAAGGCTGAAACTCTGCAGGGATATTCTCTATGCAAATACGAGATAAAAATTTTAAACTCAGCTCTCTAGCTCCCCAGTCATAGCCTCAAGCAGCTCCTCAACCCAAAAATCGACGCAACTCGGGCGTGAACCGCAGTTGTATATGCAAATGAACATGGATTTTTTGAAAAATGATCGTTCGAGCAATACTTTCAATTTTTTTATGAACGGAAAATTTGCATATATTCAAAAAAATCGTTCGCAGCTCGGACCTTAACCGCAATCGTATACGTAAATGAAAATGAATTTTTTGGCAAAAGACCGCTCGAGCAGCACTTCCACTTTTTAGTGAACTGGAAATTTCGCATTTTTTCAAAAAATTTGCACTTGTCTTTTTTTCACAAAGCGAGCATTTACCGAAAAAACAACCGGGCTTCATGCAAAAAACCGGTAATCATGCAACTAGATATACGTGCGGCCCTATAATGCACCACCTTCATCCCAGCTGACGCCCTTTTTCCTGCATGCCGAAAGGGGCCAAAGCACGCCCAATATGAGCCCAAGTGTTAGGTTACAGCGTAAGGATCATACTTGCTAATAGCGATGCGTGAGTTTAGTGCAAAAACGCATGATCGTATCGGAGAGTCTGGTGCGTTCCAGCCTGGGTTATTCCTGAGTTAGTCTTTTCGTTTAACCCAAAAACGAGGTAGCATTCGATGAGTCGGGAGAAGCTGCCCTTTTTCTTTATCTTATCTTCATCTTATCTTCATTAAATTATTTTCATTCTTTGAGGAACAGATAAACGATTTTTTCTAAGCCGAGGCTTGTAAAAGATCAGGACCGGATTTGTGGAATGCATATTGGATCGGTCTTCCTGC